TTACTCTCTGTTTTAAAACCATCAAAAATATATACATACATTTGGATAAAATTATAATAATTGTAAATAAAAGAGAAGAGGTGAATCATTATAGACCGTAAAGGCTCGTTTAAGATGATTCCCTACAAATGTAAAGCAATTATCAAGCCACATAATTGTCTTATAAACATTGTAAATTACATCATGTCTTAGCAACAGATAGGACAGAGAAATGGAAGGAGAAGAGAGAGAGAGAGAGAGAGAGAGAGCAGAGAAATCACATTTTTTATTAAACCACTCTTATACATGATATGTTTGAATGGTTTCAATATTTTCCTTTTTTTCAATGCTTCACTCAAACTATTCTTACAGGTTGGGCAATGAAAAAGCAAAGGAAATTGGAAATTCATCAAAATAATACCAAAATTTGGTTATCAAGATGTAACAATCATTTTGTTTTACAATAAAAATTATTATTATATCATATTCCCCTTTAATTTAAAGGGCATAAAATCCAACAAACATTAGCCGATAATCTTATCCAAAATTTTCGGCAAGACAAAACATTATGGCTTATTCTACCTAACAACACGTAATGTATGCAATTTTAAATTCTGACTATTGAAATACAATCATTCGTAACAGGTGATGAAATCATTTGTAATGAGGCACTCAACAAATATTTGTGCATTACATTTGATTAAATTATGAAAACGGCATAATGGGAACAATATTTGGTTCAGATGTTTAGAACAGTTCAAAGGTTTCCTTTGTTCAGCAACATTTGACATGCACAAGCTGTTGCTTGGGTATAGACAAAGCTCTGCCATTATTCAAAAGATTGGCAAAGACGTACATAGAACTGCTCACATAAATCACCTGTTTGAGAAGCCAGAGTAACAAGATGACTCCTTTATGCATCGATGGCTCTGGTTGATGTTCAAAGTGAATCATTATGCAACACATTATCCATTCTATGTAGGTCAATGGATATCACCACATTATCCATTCTATGTAGGTCAATGGATATCACCACATTATCCATTCTATGTAGGTCAATGGATATCACTAGTCAATCAAGATGGCAGCTCCAAAATGAGAATGGATAGAAAGGAAACTGAAATTTAGAGAGATTGTTTTTCCATTCTAAGCAATCAGATATGAGTAATTTCAAGATTTTTAAAACTGGCTGATAATTTTGAAGTAGATTATCAGCTAATTTTTGATGGATTTAATTTTTCTTTAAACAGTTAGTCTAAGGCAGCATTGTGAATGGAAAATACATTTTCTATTCTTGCTATCAGGGCTCCTTAAATGGCAACCTCCTGAAGCTTAATAACACTTAACACTTGTATATATTTCAATATATTTCATTCTGCATTAATCGCAATAAAACAACTCAAAGAGTTTAGGTAAAATGGCCCAGACCCACATATGTACGTACATTCATTACGGTCTATGGATAACCCCCATCAAAGTGGATATAATGTATGTACTATATGGCCATATCACATTATCATTATCTATTGCATTTATTTATTTGTATTCATTTGTTTTCATCTAACTGGGTAGCTTTCTCAGTATCATTACTGTTTTTCTGAGAGGCATTTGCAAATTAAAAGATTACAAATAAAAAGGAAACTAAACACATTGTAAGTACAAGATCATGACATAGCAAAGACTTTGTTTTGACATGAATAGAAATTTATTTAGCTTATACCTGCCACAATCTATTGGCAAAAAATTAAAATATTTAAAGATGAAATTGGGAGAGTGAAAATAACTGTTTGGATAATATAGAAGTTTTAAATAAACATAGACTAAAGGATTCAAAAATCATATATTTGACAAGTATTGAAACTGTTCTCCAGTACAGATTTGCAAAGGACTGTTTTGATTGAGAATGTCTACATAAGATGTGAGTTGACTCCCTATGAGACCCTAGTGTGGCACACTTATGTGAACAAAAATTGTTTACCCACATTAGCTTATGGAATTCAACGCTTTCTGTAAATCCACTACAGACACTCTTCCAGACCGTTGTCTTTCTGACTTGGTAGTATCATGTGGGTTTCAGGTAGGATTGATTGATGAAATGCACAGTAAAAGTTGAACAGTTATCAGAGCTAAATCTAAGGTTATAATATCACTCGTGCATGTACTGTTTCATACACTGCAGAGATATGTGCCATAAAAGGCTGAATATCACTAATATCTAATTTATAGCAGAATTTGTTCCAACCTAATACCATTTCACCCATTGCTACTGAATTATTCTATTCCTATAGGCTTCTTTACAGGAACCATTCAGCTCAAGAAGGCAATGGACTCAGATGTAGAATAAAAACCTCAAGATCGAAGTAGAAAATGTGGAACCAATACCTATTGCACATTTTCACCTGCACAAAACATGATTCAAAGGAATTTCTATCATAATCTGAATCAAGTAATTATGATGAACCTCCATCATTAGATCACCCACCCACCCACTGTGACCATCAAAGTCCTGTAGCTTAATTCACATGAGGTATTGGAATTCAAGCACCATAGTAGGTCCAGGAGTCTCTAGCATTGTTAGTGACCTTCGTTCAAACGCTCAACAATCAATTAGCTGGTGATGCAGCTTTCATCTCTACGGCTTCCAAACATCTAGAACAGGAACCCTCCTTATCTGAAATCATCACCTACAGTAGAACATTCGAAACTGAGTTTTAAGACATATCCATTCACTGAACTCGCATTGTCACAGCTTGGTAGTTTGTATATCTTGTAAATCTAACACTGCCTCATGTATAGCATCTCAAAGCGCTTTGTATCCAGTAGAAAAGGCGCTACTAGTATACAAATTGTGACTATTGTTATTAGAAATGGACGGTATGTCATACAGAAGTAGCAAGAAGAAGAAATGTGACCTCCCAAACAAGATTGGGAAATGGCATCCTGTGAAATATATGTATACTATGGGATATTACATTATATTTGCATTCATGAAAGATGAACATCATGATAAGATCAAGATATTCTACTTTTAGGAGGACTATTAAGATCAACCCTTAATAGGGCATTGGCCTGAATTGAAATAGAAAACAAAAATAAGAGTGAAAAAGATTAAACTTTGGAGCAACACTGGATGAATAGTATGAAAATGATAAACAAGGTTGAGTTTGATATGACTCATAATATAGGGAATCATTCAGCAGTTACACACTGTGGTGTTGTGTGGGGTCAAAGACAGACAGGGAACCTCTTCCATTTCATATGTGCAAACAGGTCAATCAGAATCCAGTGAAACCTGTACATAAGGATTGCTCAAGGGAAACTAAACAACAAGAAAAAATATAAACCAATATTTATCAACTATCTCTACCCTATTCTTCTAGAACAATAAAAAATATAATGTAAACCCACTTTACAATACCACCCTACTTCTAGATAAAATTAAAAACAAAATAAGCATGGAATTTAAGAAAATAAGATAAAAATTCAACCTTGAGGGTACCACTTCACTGCTGTCACTGTTTACTAAGGCAAAGTTTCAGGAAATGCTGATAAATTTTGGTATCCAAAGCCAAGTTCTCTTTGTTACCTACACTGACCTGAAGTCACCTGGCACTGTGCCTTACTCCTCTATACACCTATTCATATAAAATGCATATCTAATCTCTTCATGAGCAAGATATGACATACTGGAGAGGAGTTGATGTTTTTACCGTTTGTATGAACATGGCATCAGGATTGTAACTGGTGTTATGTCAATGATGGCTTCCATTCAACATAAACAGGGCTTCAAACATTGGATACTCAACAAACAGATAAGGGAATAGAAACTCATTGACTTCACTGTCCTGAATTCAATTATTATCAAATTTAAGAAAAGGGAAGTTTAATTAACTAATGTGATAAGGGTTTCACAGTCACTGAGCATTCTTAACCCTTACTGTACTGGGCTATTTCGAGCACTCTCTGACTGGGGGGGGGGGGGGGGGGGGCCTCCCATTGGGAGGCCCCCCCATTATGATCTCGGCCTTCGAATGTCCGATGAATGCGAAAATTTTCATGTTTGTAGATATTTACGTAAGGAACAAGATGGTATAATTAGTTTTTTCCTAATATGCAAATTTTTGTCATTATAGCCTAATTAATTATGCAAAATGCTAATTTATGCATTTTACAGAAAACTCTACATATTTGTCCGTAGACTTGTGAAGAATCTTGAAAATGTATTGAATAAGTGTTTCCTTCATCTCAAATTCATGAGGTTTCATTATTTTTATGATATCTGAAAATACATAGGTTAATTTGCATAAATTATGAATACGCATTCATGAATATCAAATCTGGAAATATATGTAGGGAACTAGAATCATAACAAAAATTGTCAGACTCCACTTTTTGAATGTTGAAACTCATTATTCACATGAAACTTCTTTTCTAACACAAAATAGTTATTTGGTGTAATTAATAATGATAATTTATGCAAATTTGACGCGATTTTCAACTTTTTATTTTCTTATGTATTTTATTGTTATTTATTTCTTATTATATCTATTGTTTTATTTTTAATGTATTCTTTTGTTCTGAAATACATCAAGTGACTTTGAGAAACATATAAAAGCAATTTGATATCAATTCATATCTTCACATTTCTGCTTGTACATGAATATATGCAATTATAGCACTTTTTTGATGACATGCGCATACTAATTGTTATGTAACACCTTACAGGTATATCCGATTTCGACGAAAATGGTATCAAAATGTGCGTAAGACTTGAGGGGAAAAAGTCATGAAACGACAATTCAAAATTCTGAGCGGTTGCGGCGCAATCTCTGAAAATGTCGAGGGGGGGCCTCCCAGGCCCCCCCCCCCTGCCCCCCAGTACAGTAAGGGTTACGATGTTAACAGGCCTGAAAGTTTAAGCTGGTCCATGATTGTGACAGTCAATGCAATATACTCAACACAAACATGGCAAATAACCATCCCTACATTAACAATGTAATGCTTAGAGATTTTGGTGGAAATCACTTTAGAAGAACCGTTTTATTGTTATCATTATTGATGTAATGACCAAGGATTATGATGTGAAGTAGGTCTTATACCTTCCAAACTGACTCTGTATGAAAATAGTGTTTCCTCCTTCCACATAATCTATTTTAATACTTTATTGACATTCCTGCTGATTGTCAGCCAAGTCTAAGAGTCAGGTGACATCCCTGCTGATTGTCGGCCAAGTCTAAGAGTCAGGCTTGACAATGGCGGTGTAACACTCAACTGAAAGGACCTCTGCAACATGTGGTATACAGCCAGCCCTAGAGGTTCATATTTGTTCTCTAACTAAGAAGTGTTCATTCCTGCCAACCACTAGTGATGTATGTACTATGATTTTGCTACCGGTAATGGATGTGCTTCTGTATTTAAAACCCAATCATCTAACGACATGAATTCATCATCTGAGAATAAAAGGTAGAGGTATTTGAGAGTCTCTGCCAAGAAGAAGCTTTGTTGGACGTCATCATGAGCCACGTGTGTAGCGTACACATCCTTGATGCCTGAATACCCTTCACCAACTCGGCAGTGTGCTTCTAAGGCCTGCAGGGAAGAGACACACAAGAGAAGAAATATATAAATGATGAAGCAGACTTAATGAGATCACAATCTTCATATGTCATCATTGCATCAGGTAAGGCTACTCTTCAGACATCATGCAGGGCCAAAAGCTATCATTGCTACACTTATCTGCAGTAGTACTGCTTATTTGGAATTTAGAACAAGTCATAAACTTAATGCAATTGAACAATACCACACCCTATACTCAACAGGAGAAATAACAAAACGATTTCAATATATCCCTACGTTTGAGGCTACATTTTGGTTAATATATCCTTAGAACTCTCTCTGACACATCATAAGTTTCATTTTGGTGACATTATAGTCCATTTTCAAAGGCATTTTTGTAACCTTTGAATAAACGCATACTTTGCTTTGACTTCTGGGTTAATGAGGGGAAAGATAAAGGATATGCCATTTAAAAAAAAAAAAAATATATATATATATATATATCTATATATACATATATCTATATACGGTAGATATTTAATTTTTTTTTATTAATTTTTTTTTTATTAAGTTCAATATTTCTATCCTTCAGTTAATGTTATAGAGGGTGAATATTTTTGATTCATCACATCTTGTAATCTTTACCTGTGCTGCTTCCCATCCCCACTGCCTATAGAGGGGATCTTTTGTGAGTCTGAAGAGTACAAAGTAAGACTCTATAGTTTCTGGACGTAGAATGTAGTACTTCTCATTCTGTCTCATAGCAACTGCCTCAGCTCGACCTTCAAATCTAAAGGCTTCTGGTCCTAATTTGGTGGCTGTGGAAGACAAAAGAATTCAAAATATAATGGATTATCAATATTTTTACGGCCTAAAAAAAAGATGTTGTATTTTAGGTGCCAAAATATGGGTCAGTCTTTTTTCTTCTTCTTTTCCCTCCCTCTTTGGGCTGATATTTCTCAGTTTTTAATGCTTTAATATTTTTCTTCTTTAAAAGCGGACCATTGATTTCAGGATTTTTGGGTCGGTCGCAAAGGGCAATACAACATTTTTTTACCCTGAGCTACCTCTTGCTGCTATCGCTGATATATTACCCTATGATCTCCCGACCCATCTCTAGGTAGTGGTCCTTCTTGCTGCTATCGCTGAAGTTATTACCCTGAGCTAACAAACCACCAGAGAAACCTTACATGTCTTATTATATGATCTCCCGGCCCATCTCTAGGTAGTGGTCCTTCTTGCTGCTATCACTGAAGCTATTACCAAGCGCATACATATCACCAGAGGATTCTTACCTGATCTCCCGGCCCATCTCTAGGTAGTGATCGACACCACGTAGAGGTGTCGTGGTCGAGTGGATAAGTCACCGGACTGTGGATCACAAGGTCCGCGGTTCAAGTCCCGCCGCGGCACTAATGTCCTTTGGCAAGACATTGATCTACATTTGCCACTCTCCACCCAGGTGTTAAAATGGGTACCCGGTAGGATGCGAAAGCTAATGTGGTTTGATTAGCAAGTGGCGCTTGTAAAATGGCGACTGGCTGGAATGCTCCCCAGGGAGTGGAGAATGTGCATACCTTGTGTGCGGGTAAGCCTGAATCCGATGACCGGGGTAATAATAATATGTTGTAAAGCGCTGTGATACACATGTATGTCTGTAAGAGCGCTATATAAATGCCAATATTATTATTATTATTATTATTATCCTTCTTGCTGCTATCACTGAAGCTATTACCAAGCGCATACATATCACCAGAGGATTCTTACCTGTATTATCATATGCTTGGTGGCAGGTCTTGGTGATCTCCTTGCCCATCTCTAGGTAGTGGTCCTTCTTGCTATCGCTGAACTTACTGCCCAGAGCAAACATTCCACCAGAGAAGCATGATAGATGATCCATCTTCTTGTCAACTCGGTTGGCACGGATATCACCAAAGTATGTTAGACCACCTCCAGACTTTTGCTTCATACGACTCTCCATTGCCTGGTGAAATAAGACAAGAGAGACAAAGAGAGAGAGAGAGAGAGAGAGAGAGGGAGGAATTAATCACTAATCCATCTACTCATTGAACAATTCCATGGAGTTAAGTAATGAATCTTAAAACTAAATCCTTCCTTTGTATAGAAGAGTTATTTTTAAGCATGTTTTGGACTTAACACATTTTTGTTTATCAATGCAAATTTAAAATGTGAAAGCTGAATGAAAACTAGGTAATTCAACAAATGCAAGTACTTAAAGGAAAGAAAGGGAAAAAATGGACAAACTCAATGGTCACAGAAACTAGTTTCTCTATCTGCATGCGTGGGAGAGTGCAGTCACTTCATTCACTTAACAACCATAATCACAATGTCAGTTTTAAGAGGAGTCCATAAATATTCCCTTATAATAAATCGTCTAAGAGGAGTGTAATGAATCAACTCAAAACAAATGCACGCTACTATGTATCCACAACCAACCATACTAATCCATTATCAATTTTATTTTTTTTAATACATAAATTTTCTGCGTTACTTTGTGCTTGCACATCTTACTAGGAATTTTGTATCTCTCATTTTAAAAGACATTTACATGTACTTTTTTCCAGTTAAATAAGAACACCAGCACATGATATTACTCTTTTACGTGGTACATGCAGTTCTAATTCATTAGTCAGATTTTGCATTTAAAGTTTGTTTAAACTTCATGTATAATTTTGTAAACAATTCTTTCATTCTGAATGAGAGAAATCAATGATTTATTTGTATTCCATTTCAATAAATTGACTCTAGTCAGGATCACATCAATGTCATATACTGTGATCTCAGCTGGATACTGTGATTTCGGCTGGATACTGTGATCTCGGCAGGATACTGGGGATCGTATAGCTTTGTCATCTTCATACAACTGTAGCAATTAGTTGACCACATCAAATCAATACCAATGAAATTAGATGGAGCAGACAAAACAATAAGTTTGATAACTAACATCCTATAATGAAACAAATTAATATATCCATGAATCATAAATTGACTGTGATATGAAGCAGCCAGATCTTCAATTATTGACAATCCAATTGAGGAAAGCGTCTCCATCAAGTACGATGCACCAGGGTTTTCAGCGAGCTATATTCCATTGTGAGGAAAGCACACAATGTAATTTCCTCTTTCCAAGTAAAGTCACCTGCCTCTCTTTCAACATGCAGTAATTGTCCCTGATGTATCAGCCATGAATCTCCATCACATCAACATCACTCATCTTTCTCTTAATCTTTCATACCAGTCTCCATCACATCATCATCTCATATTATTCTCTCCATCACATCATCATCACTCATCTTTCACTCAATCTTTCATACCAGTCTCCATCACATCATCATCTCATATTATTCTCTCCATCACATCATCATCACTCATCTTTCTCTTAATCTTTCATACCAGTCTCCATCACATCATCATGACCCATCTTTCTCTCAATCTTTCATACCAGTCTCCATCACATCATCATCACTCATCTTTCACTCAATCTTTCATACCAGTCTCCATCACATCATCATCTCATATTATTCTCTCCATCACATCATCATCACTCATCTTTCTCTCAATCTTTCATACCAGTCTCCATCACACCATCATGACCCATCTTTCTCTCAATCTTTCATACCAGTCTCCATCACATCATCATGACCCATCTTTCTCTCAATCTTTCATACCAGTCTCCATCACATCATCATGACCCATCTTTCTCTCAATCTTTCATACCAGTCTCCATCACATCATCATGACCCATCTTTCTCTCAATCTTTCATACCAGTCTCCATCACATCATCATGACCCATCTTTCTCTCAATCTTTCATACCAGTCTCCATCACATCATCATGACCCATCTTTCTCTCAATCTTTCATACCAGTCTCCATCACATCATCATGACCCATCTTTCTCTCAATCTTTCATACCAGTCTCCATCACATCATCATGACCCATCTTTCTCTCAATCTTTCATACCAGTCTCCATCATCTTATAATTTTATATTTTTCTCTCCATCACATCATCATGACCCATCTTTCTCTCAATCTTTCATACCAGTCTCCATCACATCATCATGACCCATCTTTCTCTCAATCTTTCATACCAGTCTCCATCATCTTATCATCTCATATTTTTCTCTCCATCACATCTTTCTCTTCATCTCAATAGCAATCATCATCATCATCACTTCATTTTCTCTCCATCATACTGAAAAAAATATATGATATCACAATTGATTACTTTTTTCTCCATTTTCTATAATGATCTCTATCATATCATATTATCATCTCTGATAATCTTTTGCATCTTAAATAACGACCCCTTCACGCACACACCATATTTCTGATATTCCTCCTTTCAAGTTCCATTGCTTAATTCCTCTTCTATCTTTCTCTCCATCTCAATCCATATTCTACCCCAGCCAATAAAACTCAGCTTCGCTCATGATGATCAAGCTCTTCATATTAGCATCCTTCTACTAATATACCTATATTACCACTGCTCATCAAAGAAAATGAAAGCTGACTGTATGCCTATCCATTAGCATATCTCCTTCTTTTCCATATCACCGTCTATTCACAATGGATAAAATGCTGAACCACTTTTGTACAAAAGAGGGTCAACTCCCATTCTTTAATTGGTGTCCCCTGGCTATGTCTTTTGTTTGCAATGCACGCCCATCGATCTATTCATACTGATTCAATAATCCATAAAAAAGAAAAAATATTCATAGCAGTATGGTTGATGCCCATGTACTTTCTGTCTTAAGGCAAAGACAATTCACACAAGAAGGCATACATAGATAGATGTAGATGTTTCACATTGTCTGTCTACTTCAAACACATCTTCAGTGCTATACAGATATCTTATGAGAGCTATAGATCTGAAAACTAAGTTACTATTGTAAGAAATTATATGCAATATAAAAGGGAGAGAAAAACAAAGAGAAAGCGAATAAAATATCTTACATATCTTACAAAAGCATTTTTTTTTTTTACAGTGGTTGTTTAAATGTGTGAAACACCCACATATTGATGGCCTTTATTAATCAACCTCTGTGGCAAAACTTAAGCGTTGATGGTTTTCTTTTTTAAACAACATCAGATTAGCTGGGATTCCTTTTCAATCATCATCACCTTCAGAATTGGAAATATAAGTAGTACAATAATTCTTGTGCCCATATAACAAAACATCATTTAAGAAAATGGCAAGCAGAGAAAAGTGTGAGGAATGTATAAACTGCATACATTCCTGCCAAATTTAATTTCTTTACCAGTATACTGCGTTTCTTCCTACAATGTTCACACCACCTGTAGTTTTGTTATGTTTTGTATATTGGAAGCATATTGGAAGAATTTCCAAGCAAAACCAATCTGCAAGACATTCTTTGTTTCAATAGAATCAAATGCAGTTCAACATAATTACCAGAGTAGTGCTTTATATAAATACTGCATGGCCTATGATCGACCAAGACTTGTTCAATTCATGATATTCATAAGCCCAATGATGCATGCTAAGTGGTAGCATTGACTATCCTTCAATGACTGAGTAGGGAGATGGTGTTTGGTAGCATTGACTATTCTTCAATGACTGAGTAGGGAGATGGTGTGGTAGCATTGACTATCCTTCAATGACCGAGTAGGGAGATGGTGTTTGGTAGCATTGACTATCCTTCAATGACTGAGTAGGGAGATGGTGTTTGGTAGCATTGACTATCCTTCAATGACTGAGTAGGGAGATGGTGTTTGGTAGCATTGACTATCATTCAATGACTGAGTAGGGAGATGGTGTTTGGTAGAATTGACTATCCTTCAATGACCGAGTAGGGAGATGGTGTTTGGTAGCATTGACTATCCTTCAATGACCGAGTAGGGATATGGTGTTTGGTAGCATTGACTATCCTTCAATGACTGAGTAGGGAGATGGTGTTTGGTAGCATTGACTATCCTTCAATGACTGAGTAGGGAGATGGTATTTGGTAGCATTGACTATCCTTCAATGACTGAGTAGGGAGATGGTGTTTGGTAGCATTGACTATCCTTCAATGACTGAGTAGGGAGATGGTGTTTGGTAGCATTGACTATCCTTCAATGACTAAGTAGGGAGATGGTGTTTGGTAGCATTGACTATCCTTCAATGACCGAGTAGGGAGATGGTGTTTGGTAGCATTGACTATCCTTCAATGACTGAGTAGGGAGATGGTGTTTGGTAGCATTGACTATCCTTCAATGACTGAGTAGGGAGATGGTGCTTGGTAGCATTGACTATCCTTCAATGACTAAGTAGGGAGATGGTGTTTGGTAGCATTGACTATCCTTCAATGACTGAGTAGGGAGATGGTGTTTGGTAGCATTGACTATCCTTCAATGACTGAGTAGGGAGATGGTGCTTGGTAGCATTGACTATCCTTCAATGACTAAGTAGGGAGATGGTGTTTGGTAGCATTGACTATCCTTCAATGACCGAGTAGGGAGATGGTGTTTGGTAGCATTGACTATCCTTCAATGACTGAGTAGGGAGATGGTGTTTGGTAGCATTGACTATCCTTCAATGACTGAGTAGGGAGATGGTGTTTGGTAGCATTGACTATCCTTCAATGACTAAGTAGGGAGATGGTGTTTGGTAGCATTGACTATCCTTCAATGACCGAGTAGGGAGATTGTGTTTGGTAGCATTGACTATCCTTCAATGACTGAGTAGGGAGATGGTGTTTGGTAGCATTGACTATCCTTCAATGACTGAGTAGGGAGATGGTGCTTGGTAGCATTGACTATCCTTCAATGACTAAGTAGGGAGATGGTGTTTGGTAGCATTGACTATCCTTCAATGACCGAGTAGGGAGATGGTGTTTGGTAGCATTGACTATCCTTCAATGACTGAGTAGGGAGATGGTGTGGTAGCATTGACTATCCTTCAATGACCGAGTAGGGAGATGGTTTGGTAGCATTGACTATCCTTCAATGACTGAGTAGGGAG